TGACAGATCGACCAGCTTTATGCATATATATACCCCAACCATGCAAATATCTCACAATGGTTACGAAAATCCTTGAACGCGAGGAGTGCATCGGACTGTGGCGGGCCTAAACAAAGTACTATATGATATGAGATCTCCACAACATACTGATCCCGGATACGTGTGGCCGGGCTGGCTAACAGTGCTTAGTCTTTCTGTATAGTGAGAGCTGTCTATAGCTTACAGTGGACTAGCCGACCATCACTGTAATGGGGCTCGCAGCCGGCCAGGCGTGGTGTACTTTCTTTTATTATAGATATTTTACACGGCTTGTTGAGATGTCGGTCATATAGCTTTTTTTCAAACTTCCGCCATTATGTGTTTCGGGTGAGGTACGTAATCTCAGGCAGGGCAGGCGTCGCGTACATATACATATATATATATATATATATATATATATATATATATATATATATATATTATCAAGAGCTCATAATAGAAATAGAATTTATTATGATAATTAATTATTATGAGATTTAATTATATAACTCTCTATTATGAGCTCTTGATATATATATATATATATTATACGAGTACGTATACAATACAAGCGACATGATTGAACTTATATATATCTATAATCACGATATGAAATTGGAATAACAAAACAATTTTTGCCTGGTTGCTCAGGCAAAACTCAGACAGTTCATATAGCGGCATCGCAATCAGGCATTAATGATTAATTATTATTAACTCCTGATCAATCCTTTTTACAACACTTGAACTGGTCACTCTAGCTCCTTATTTGTATACTGATTATGTAATAATATATATATATACATGTGTATATATATATATATATATAATATATGCAGGAACTTATGTATCAAGGACTTTATGTACCTATAACCATAGATTCACCCCACGGAGCACACCTCACGCCCACGTACCAAATAGATAGTCTGGAACTACTTACATAATCGCATAGGCTGAAAACTGTACATATTTCGTTCGTTATATATGCAATTAAGTAAAACTTTAAGGGATCTATGTAAGTAAAAAAAAAGTGTGTGTGTGCGTGCGCGCGCGTGCGCGTGTGTATACATGTGTGTGCGGCTGTAAAAAACACGCGCGTGCTGTAGGAATAGACGCTCCCCGTGTTTTTTCTATATACGACGATGCGACCCCTCTAATAATTGCACCCCTTCGGCCACACTGTAATTACTCACGCTACCTGACCAAGCTGTGTGCGTATATATAGCCTGTGCAAGCCATTCACGTCGAGCTAGGTTGGATCCGGTTTCTCAGGCCGATTCAGTCAGGACAGGTATATAAAGTGTGACGTAGCGAAGCAGCGGCGTACCTTATAAGGGTGGGCGCTCACCTGTGAAGTAGCTCGGCACAAACACACTCCATAGCGGATGTGCGCACTGTTGTTCTCGTGTATCTGTTTGTGATTCTGTTGGAATTTACCCCGCTGTAGCCTACTCATATAAGCGCTTACTATTAGTGCAATTGAGCATCGAACGTTGTTAATTGGCATTGTTTACGTAAACTTATCAAGGGAAGTGCAGTGCTAGTCGGAGACAGTGCGTTGGGTAGAACAAGCCGCGGGACACCGCCCTGCACCGACTGAATCATGACGAAAAAACAATACGTAAGTAACGCAAAACGCAAGTTGTGACGCATACAACTTAACGCATATAGCGTTGACTATGAATGCGCACGCAGTCTTTATATATAGCTATTTCTCTGGCTTGCCTCTATATGTTCCTATGCACGAGGGGAGTATATGTTCCTATGCACATATTTGGAGTATATTTGTGAAGATTGAAGTCAATTTCCACTGTACGCAGATTCAAAGAAAGTATTAAAGGTTTCCTACTAATCTGTATACGATTAATTTAGCTCCAGATTAATGGCTACCGCTTCTGTGCTTTCTAGTGGCACTATCTCTTATTTATTTTATTTTATTTATTTATTAATTTAAAGACGGTACATTTATAACAGATATGTAAACATGAACTTGCAAGCTCCTCATCGTCAGTGGTGTTATTATATTCTACACCACTTCTATTCTGTCAATGCGCGAGAACGTGCGAGGGAGAGAAAGAGAGTATGCGCCATAGAGCTTCTTTGGCAATCATTAACAAAATTGTTCTAATTTTTCTATAGCGCTCTCCTCTAACCTAATTATATAACCACTGGCTGGTTTATTGTGTGTCTTGTAACGACACATAGCTATGCAATAAATCAGTGCATAGCATAAGTAGAATACTGCAGTTCTTCCTCTTTTGGTAGCACTTTTCCCATTACATATAGTTCTGCCGCGCTTTGAGCTCTGCACGCTCTTACAACACACGCTATAGTCTTTGATTAGAAGACGTGTAGAAGATATCATTCAGTAAGTTTCGATGGTGCAGAACCTGCTGGTTTATTTGATAACCTCAGTAATTGTAAGCTTTGGCTAAACGTTGTCGCTTTGCTCCACCTTTGTATTTTTGGCCTGGTTATATGTAAATAGCGGATATAATCACGGTCCCGCGCTCTTGCTACAGCTATAAATGCTATATATATATATATGTATATATATATACAACCTCGCTATATAGACTACAGACAGAAGTGGAGAGGTCTTGTGCATACAACTTGTGAATGCTTCAACATAAAGAGAATCAAACAGTATGAAAGAAAAAGTGAACGAAGACTAAAGAATTTGAACAAAAGATGATCTATGAACTTTATAGCAATAGATATTTGTACTACATTATTATTCTGTGTAATGCCCGTTTCGGGCTCTCACTAGGCGTATAAATATACTATATAGAACTTTACTGCTACCGACTCCTGCTTGCATTAATTAACTTTACCACTGAGATGAATTTACATTATTTAATGACAAAAAATATTGTGGATAAGGATGAGCTGACATCGAGATAGTGAAGACACGCAGAAGGCGGACCGTGTGTATAGCCATGCAGCCAGCCCACTGCATGGGCCATATAAACTCCCAGTTCGACATGTTTATTACTGGTTTGTCCACTCGTTTGTGTATGTGTATTTGTTTATCACGAAATTCAGTTGTCGTAGTACAGTACACGCAGTAGATTTGGTAGGTATAATTTGTAAATACACATGAAGTGCACGGCTTTCTAGGCACACCTGTTTTAAAACAACGTCAGCATAACACCTAAACCTATTGGCATACACACGCGCACACGCACGCACGCACGGACACGTACGCACGCACGCACGCACGCACACGCACGCGCACGCACGCACGCACACACACACACACATGCGCACACGCACACGCGCGCGCATACGCGCACGCGCACACACATCTTTCCAAGTAATGACACACAACTATCTCCGACGAAACATATCGGTTTATCAATATAAACACGAGAAGAGCCACAACATAGGCGCTGTACAATATATTTACAGCGGAATGCACTCTCAGAAATCGGATAAATGCTTTTATTTTAGTAAACAAGTGAACGGCTTCGTCTTTTAACAAAAACGTTTTTATAACAGTCCCTATATACACTGTTACCTTAGAAGAATCGCACCCGTTGATGGAAACGTACATGGGAGCAGATTGCAAGGGGGCGTAGTCATGTATATCGACGATCTCTGTCTAGCGTGTTTAGCGTCACGGTCTTGTCGTCTTCCGTCCGCTAGCCGCTCCGTCATGATCGGTGGGCCCCGTCTTAGCGCATTTGTGCCAAACAGGATCTACGCGCTAAAGTGGAACAGCAGAGAATGACTGACATTGACATCGGGTTTGGGACGATACCCATGCAGCGGTGGGAAAAACCCAGGCTTATCTCTGCTAAGTCCGTCGTGCGTAATATATGTATGTCAGCCGTCACAACGTTGGTCAGTTTTGAGAAAAGCCTCATGTTAGGATGCGATACGTTAGCAGTACGTTTGAACTTCACGGTTGAGTAAAAATTAACCAATTTAGCTCTATTATCCACTAACCGAATACACGTATTTAAAGTTGTAATATATGCACTAGAGCGAAATACTAGCTCTACCGCTGTGTAGCCCCTTCGCTCCCGCTACAGTTGGAAAACTCCCTGTAGCGGGAGCGAAAGGGCTACACCGGTAGAGCTATGTTGATCGTACAGCCCTGTAGCGGGAGCGAAGGGGCTACACCTGAAGAGCTATGTTGATCGTACAGCCCTGTACCGGGAGCGAAGGGATCGAGCTACACCGGTAGAGCTATGTTGATCGTACAGCCCTGTAGCGGGAGCGAAGGGAGCTACACCGGTAGAGCTATGTTGATCGTACAGCCCTGTAGCGGGAGCGAAGGGGCTACACCGGTAGAGCTATGTTGATCGTACAGCCCTGTAGCAGAAGCGAAGGGAGCTACACCGGTAGAGCTATGTTGATCGTACAGCCCTGTAGCGGGAGCGAAGGGGCTACACCTGAAGAGCTATGTTGATCGTACAGCCCTGTAGCGGGAGCGAAGGGGCTACACATGTAGAGCTATGTTGATCGTACAGCCCTGTAGCGGGAGCGAAGGGGCTACACATGTAGAGCTATGTTGATCGTACAGCCCTGTAGCGGGAGCGAAGGGGCTACACATGTAGAGCTATGTTGATCGTACAGCCCTGTAGCGGGAGCGAAGGGGCTACACATGTAGAGCTATGTTGATCGTACAGCGTGCGTGCGTACGTGCGTGGCGTGCGGCGCTGCGTGGCGTGTGTGGTGTGTGGTTTGTGTGGTGTGTGTGTGTGTGACGTGTGTGTGCGCGTTGGCGTGCGTGCGTGCGCGTGCGTCGTGCGTGCGTGCGCCGTGTGCGCGCGTGCGGTCTGTGTCTGTGTGTGTTGTGTGCGTGTGTGGTGTGTGTGTGTGTGGTGGTGTGTGTGTGTGGTGTTGTGTGTGGTGTGTGTGGTGTGTGTGTCACGTGTGGTGTGCCGGTGCGCGTGCGTGCGTGTGTGTTCTGTACGAGCGGCGCGTGTGTGATGTGTGCGTGTGTGTGTGTGCGTGTGTGTGTGTGTGTGTGTGTG